CCACCAGAGAGAAAGAAGAACTAATCACATTTACCAAAATGGAAGTACCTCTGGCCAGGCAAGGTGACACATGCCTGGAATCCCAGAACTCTGGAAACAGAAGCAGGAGGATCACCAAATATTCAAGGCTAGTCTGGTCTACATTGCAAGTTCCAGGACAGGTAAGACTATATAACAAGACAGGACCTTGTTGGGGAGAATGAGAGAGAAAACCTCTGACCAAGTAATATACACAGGCAAAAGATAACTGCATTCTCTCATATTAACCTGTGTAAAAGTATATTGCAGAATTGTTTAAAATCATAAAAAGGTAATAACTTAAATCTTTACCAAGTAATGAATAAACAAAACATGGAACATCTGCATGTGCATCAATAAACCATTAAAAGTAATATAAAACTGATACATGCAACAATATGCATGTATCTTGAAAACATGATAAATAAAAGACCTCAGACACACAAAAACACACTTAGTGTATGCTATGATCTGAAAGTTTGTGCTACAGACCCCTAAATCCATTATATGTCAGTTTAATCCTCAGTCAGATGGTAGTAGGAAATGGAGCTCTTAGAAAGTGACAAGATCATAAGAGTAGAACCTTCAGAAGGGCATTAATGACTTTGTAAGGGGGAGAAGACAAGAGCATCCCTTTCATCATGTCAACACACAGTAAGAGATCAGAATTCCACAAACCAGAGGAGCATCTTCACTAGCATTTGACCATGCTGTTACTGCATCTCAGAACTCCAGCCTCCAGAACTGTAAGCAACAAATGCCCACTGTCTACAAACCACAAGTACAGAACATTAAGCTACCCAGCAGCCTGAAGTAGCCAAGACTGTATATGATGTCATTTCTGTGAACTCGGGGAAGTCTTCAGAGACAAAAATGAGGTAAGTAGTAATAACCAGCGGGAGAGGGAAGAACATAAGCAGATATGGGATCCCCTTATTAGGTAATAACAATATAGAAAAATTGTAATCTAATCAACATAAGAAAGTATTATAAAAGCATAAATTAAGAGTGGTTGACAGTGGGCTGGTGAGATGACTCAGTGGTAAAGAGCACAAGCTGCTCTTGCAGAAGATTCCGGTTTGGTTCCCAGCATCAACATGTCAACTAACAACCATCTTTAACTCCAGTTCCAGGGGATCCACTGACACTTTTTTCTAGCCTCCACAAGCATTGCACACACGTGGTACAGTGACATACATACAAGCAAAACATTCATACACATAAAATAAAAATAAGCAAATCAAAAAAAAAATAATTAAGAGTGGCTGACAAGTGATCCTGTCAGCAGAACCAAAACTAACCTTGTAGCAAAAATAGAAAGTATGCAGCACCCGGGAAGCAGAGGCAGGCAGATCTCTGTGAGTTCAAGGCCAGCCTGGTCTACATAGTGAGTTCCAGGATAACTTGGGCTACAGGGAGACCCTGTCTCAAAAAGACCAAAAAAAAAAAAAAAGTATGAAGGTATGTACTTAATCTATGATCCTGGTCAAGTTATCTATGCACTATGGGCCTTGGTTTTATTACAGTATAACAGGAGCTCACAGAGTTTTTATATGATAAAAACTAAATAGTCAGTGACATTCTTAGCTTCATGAAGTATACAGATACTCAAAACATTTTTATTCTAAGCTAGGTGCTGTGGCTCATACCTATAATCCCAGCACATGAGAAGCAGAAGCAGGTCATTCTCAGCTACATAGTGAGTTCAAGGTCAGTTTGAGCTATATAAGACCCTGACTCAAAACAAAGCCAAATAAAATTATTTTAGTTGTTAAGCCTAGCAGGACATTAGAATAAAACTTAAGATAAGCTTTGAAAGATGAATAGCTCCCTAGAGCTGTGCTATTTGGTGAAGTATTCACTGGCTACATGTGGTTATCTAAATGAACTGAAATTAAAAGTTCAGTTCACATACTAGATAGTAATAAATGTATAGTCTCTACATTATTAGACAGAGCAAAGGTCTAGAAAAACATGCAATGAAAATTTACATGGATCTTGAACATTTCTACCATCATTGCACTAGAAAATTAAAGGTATTCAAATTAACTATCACATTTATTTTTGAGACAGGTTCTCACTATGTAGCTCTGACTAGCCTAGAACTTGTTGTGTAGATGAGGCTGGTCTAGAACTTACAGAGATCTGCCTGACTCTGCTTCCTGATTGCTGGGATTAAAATGCCAGAATAACTACCACAGTTTTATACCTTTAAGCCTTTAAGCCCTAGTTTAAATTGCTAGCATCACCTACTGAAGGTTCTGTCAAGAAAATAAAAACACAAAGGAAGAAATTGATGAATACTCCCTCAAAATATTTGGAAAAATTATTTCACACAAGAAACAAAAATAAAGCAAATTGCAAACAAAGTCCTTACTACAGAAAACAGTTTAGACTGCTGAATAAGGATTCTCAGCTTACAGAACTATGATAGCCTCCTAATTCTACAAAATGAAGAGTTGAATAAATGAGAAAATGCTCTCTAATCAACTAAGTGTTTATGGTATCAATTTCTCATCAACAAAATGTATTTGTTAGAAAACGTTTTTTAAGTATTTTATTATTTTTATTTTATGTGTATGAGTATATTGCCTGCATGTAAGTAGGTACACCCTTGTCATGAATGCCTGCAGGTCAGAAGAAGGCATTGGCTCCCCTGGATCTGGAGCTACTGACAGTAGTTAGCTGTCATGTGGGTGCTGGGATTCAAACCTGGGCCCTCTGCAAGAGCAGTCAGTGTGCTCTTAACCACTGGCCTTCTCTCCAGGCCCCAGAAAACATTTTTTTAATATCTATTTCTCTATGGCATGACCTGGCTGATGTCAGCAGGAGGTGTAAATCTCTAAAAGCTGTGAAATATTATGCTTAGCCAAAGCTATTTTCTACAAAATAGACTCTCTCCACTACTGTAGTCATGTTTTACAAACATTAAAAAAAAAAAAAAAAAACTTCCTCTTTGATTTTGAGTAACTGTAGGAAACTAGAAAGTTGTTCCTCAATGTCACTCACTGTCACTCACCTCATGGGCAGCAATGTACACTGAAATGCTCCCAGGAACCAGGCACTATCAGCTCAAGATGTTTTGAACCCTTCTCACAAACTACAGTGAGAAGCACCTGTTCCCTTCAACTTAGGTTCCAGAAGATTCTGGGCCATTGTGTATGATGTATTGAGGTTCAGATGCCAAAACAATAAGTTTACATTTATGACTGAATATTGGATAATACTTTTAAACGTCCCCCCAGTGTAGCTCCAATGCTTTCACATTTAAGATAAATCAGCCTGCTGAAGAAAGAAAATGGAGGCCCTGGAAATGGGTGAGCATTTGGTTTCTTGAGTGCACTTTGCCTTATTCCAGCTGGAATATACCAGTAATTATGCCTGGAAGTTGCAGAGCACTTTCCCCTGAGAGCTCTAAGAGCTTTAAAAGATAGGCTAATCCATGTTCATAAGCTCGCCAGGCAGCAGAAGGGGCTTGGTATTCTCTAAAACACAAAAAAGCTGAAGAGGTGCTGCTGGACCAGTCAGACTTAGGTGTTCAGATGGGAATGTATGTGTTCTGGCTCAGCACCACAGGCAATGAACCAGACTTAACAGATCACAGAAACTCTAAGTGTGTTTCAACATGAGTCAACCTCTCTGAAGAAAGGGTGGCAAAGTCCCAGGATGTCAGACCCACTGGCAAAACTACTAATGGCCACAGGAAGGCTTGAATGAATGCCCTTTTTCATACTCAAAAGCAAACAACAGCCACATTAGCATCCCAGAGATGTGATCATGCTCTAGATACGCAAGTGTGATGTGTTTAGAGCTCTCACTTGGAAAGGAATTGCTCATGTATGGTTATAAAGCACATAAGTATTTATATCAACTCTAATTCTCAGCTTACACACAAGTATCTGATTAGTTAATAAGTTAACTAAGCCTAAGAGTAACTGGCAAGGAAGCTAATATCTGCCTATGGCTTTGACTAGTTCAAAGAAGCTCTTTTGCAAGATTAAAAACTGTACTTCACCTCTGAAAATGGGTCATTTACTATAAAAAGACTTCCTTTCCCATGCTACCTGCTCATATTACATTTTTGCCTTAGTGCTAGATTGGTCTGATCAGCCAAGCCATTACCGCAAGTCAAGAAATGAATACTGGGAGAGACAAAAATTACATATTTTCCTTTAAAAAAAAAAAAAACTGATACTCCTTTCCATAGTCCACTTGAATCTTAAATCTAGGACACCTACCCAAAACTCAATTCCACAACAAACCCTATATAAGACCACTTAATTCATGTTGTCAAAGCCTAGAAGAAATCAAGATGTCAGTCTACAGGTGGAAAGATAAACTGTGGATGGAGACAAAAGTATATCACTCAGAGACTTTTTTCCAATGGATTAACAAGCCACAAAATACATGCAAGACCTTAAATGTATCTCACTGTGTAAAAGAAGCCAATCTGCAACATACACCTTTAATCCCAGTACTTGGGAGGCAGAGGCAGCTGGATCTCCGTGAGCTTGAAGCCAGCCTGCTCTACATAGTGAGATCCAGGCCAGCTGGGGCTACATGGAGACCCTGTCTCAAAAGGACACACATACACAAAAAAAGTTAGTCTGAAAGGATTACGAATTATATAACCCCAAACACATGACGTTCTAAGAAGGCGAAGTTATGGAGGATCAGTGTCAGAAGATCAGTTGGGGGGGAGGGGGCTGGCAATATGTAAAGTTTCTCTTTTTGTATCTGGGTTACCCCTCACTCAGGACGAGATGAATGTTGTTGGGCTGAAGAGATGGCTCAACAGTTAAGTGCTGGCTACTCTTGCAGAGAATCCAAGTTCATTTCCCAGGACCCACATGGTGGCTAACAACCATCTGTAACTCCAGTTCCAGAGAATGCAACACCCTCTTTTGAACTCTGCAGGCACTGTGAGCACAGAAGCACTTACATACATACAGGCCAAACACTCATACACATAAAATAAAAACAAATGAAATGATGGCAGTCACCTTTCAGAACTGACCTGAAATAAAGAGAATATTCTTTGCTGCTCACTTGGGAAAAAAAATAAAATATAAAATAAAACAAAAACAAATCAAAAAGAATTTTTAAAGGATGCTTGTTGCCAATTCCATCAATTTACCTTCAATTTTGATTTCATTTTTCTTAACAGCTGAATAATACTCCATTGTGTAAATGTACCATACTTTCGGGGCTGGGGAGATGGCTCAAGGGTTAAGAGTACTGTCTGCTCTTGCAAAAGACCTGAGTGATCATAAGGTAGACCTATTTCTAACTTTTTGAGGAATCTCCACACTGATTTCCATAGTGGTTGCACCAGTTTGTACTCCTACCAGCAGTGAATAAGTGTTGCTCTTTCCCCACATCTTTGCTAGCATTTGTCATTGTTTCTTGGATCTTAGTCATTCTGACTTGGGTAAAATGAAATCTCAAAGTACTTTTAATTTGCATTTCAATGATGGCTAATGCTATTGGACATTTGTTCTAAATATTTCTCAATCATTTCCATTTTGTCTTTTGAGATCTCCATTTAATTTCTTGCCCCGATTTTAATTGGGTTTTCTTTGGGGGTTTTTTGGTTTCTGTATGTTTAATTTTTTGAGTTTATATATTTTGATATTAACCCTCCATCAGATATATAGCTGGTAAAGATTTTTTCCCATTCTGCAGGCTGCCTCCTCACTCAAATGATGGTGTCTTTTGCTGTACAACACCAATACTGAACCATCTCCTCCCAAGGCTCAGAGAGCATTGCAGAAAAGAGGGCAGAAAGACTGTAACAGTCAGGGTTAGTAGATGAATACAATGAAAGTGTTTTCCAAACACAACAGAGCAATTACACATATTAACCCACAGCACTTATGAGAGCATGCACAAGACTTTTACAAGCCCAAGCTCCCCCGACCAAAAAAAAGAAAAACAAACAAACAAAAAACCCCAGCATGGATAGGGTGGAGGAAGGGAGGGGAGCAAAAAGTGATAGCCACTGGGAAAGGGAAACGCAATTTTCTTTAAAGTGACACCAGTTAGGCTGACTAGGCTACAGGGAATGGACTCACACCCAAGAGCATGTAGGGAACATAAATGAGACTCGATAGGCCTTTGAAAAATAAAGAACAGGAAATGAGTGGTGTTATCAAGGTGGGGATGGATCTAAAAGGAGATGGAAGAGGGGTCTGAGTATAATTAAAATATACTGTATGAAATACTCAAAGAACCAATAAAAATATATTTTAAATGGATGGAGCTGTATTAGCCAGGGGTCTCTGGAGGAACAGAACTGACAAAATGACTATATATTAAAGGAATCTGGGGCTGGAGAGATGGCTCAGTGGTTAAGAACTGGCTGCTCTTGACCTGGGTTCAAATCCCAGCACCCACATGGCAGCTAACAACTGTCCATAACTCCAGTTCCAGGGGGTCCAGCAGCCTCTCCTGTCCTCCTCAGCCATTGCACAACATGGGTACACTTACCTACATGCAGGCAATACACACATACACATAAAACAACAATAAAAAATAATTTTAAAGAATTTATCAGCACTACTTTGAAATTGTAACAACAGCTGAGGGGCTGAGAACCTGGTAGTTGCTTGGTCCTTGAGGCTGGGTGGAGCCTCAGCAGCTGGAGGAGTCACACAGTAACTATCTCACTCTGGAGAGGCTGAGACCCCAGTAGTTGCTCAGTCTGTAGGGATTGGGATTGCTCTCTGCCTCAGCAATCCCAATCTGGTGGCAAACACCTAGAAGGTTCCTAAAAAGCCACTGATCCTCAGTCAATGATAGAAGCCTGGTAACACTGGCTATGATGTCAGCAAAGGAATCAGCAGCAGCAGCAACAGGATAAATCAACTCAGCAGTGAGAGGGAAGGCCAAGAAAGCAAAAGGCAAATCTTTTTTTTCTGCCATGCCCCTTTTAATCTGGCTGCTACCAGAAAGCACCGCCCACAATTTTGCTTCCCATATCAATTAAGGCAATCAGGACAATTTTTACTTACTTGGGTAATTATAATTTGTGGCAAGTTGCCATTAAAATCAACCACCACAGGAGCACAGGGAATTTTCTAGAACACTAACACTATTTTGTTGATACTGTTAATGGTCAAAGTACGTCACAAATTTGTCAAAACCCCTAACAGTATGCAACAGAGTGTACCCTAAGGTGAACTTTAGATAACAATAATGAATCCATATTGGCTCATCAATAATAAATGTACCATACTAAGATGTTAATAACTGGGTGAAGTGGGAAGGGAAGGACTGATACAAAAACACTATCTGCACAGTATTTCTACAAGCCAAAACTTGTTCCAAAAGATTAACTTAAAATTAACAAGATTAATTTTAGAAACAAAAACTGATAGAACTTCCCAAGCTTCATCCACATTCTAAATCCAGGGGCACCAATCAAGATACCTTTTAGGGTGAACCTTTTCTAGTGAAATGAGTTCTGAAAACCAATACTGCAGTTAGTTACTTCATTTTAAAGGAATTTACACTCTCTACATTTTATCAAGTTAACCAAAGAAAATGAATTTTTCAAAAATTTGGCTGATAGTATACTTAGTAGCAAGAACAAGCTACCAACCTGTGAGTTGCTATCTGCATTTTCAGCAGACTATCAACCAATTTGATACATTGGATACTCAAATTTTCTGCACATGCTTGTATGTGTATGTACACGTGTATGAGGAAGCTGAAGATTGATGGTCTGTGCCTTTCTTCATCATTCTCCACCTTGGAGGGTCGGTCTCTCAATGAACCCGCAGCTCAACAATTCTGGGTTAGGCTAGCTAGCCAGCTTGCTCTGGAGCTGCCCTGTCTCTGCTTCTCAAGTGCTGGGACTATAGGTGGGCCACCATGCCCACCAGCTTTTATATGGGTTCTGGGGATCCAAATTGTGGTCCTCATTCTTGCACTGCGAGCACTTTACCCACTCACTGAGCCATCTCCCCAGCCCTAGATTCTCTCACTTCAGTCACTTTGCTCTCTAAGTTCCTTTTGGGTTCATTTGCATTATTCTGAATCAAATGTTAACTGATATCAGTTCCTTGAGGGCAGAGACCATATCTTAGCCTTCTTACCTTCAATGTTGGACATACTGGGAAAGGACAAGAGAAGAACAGGAAGGCAGATAGGAGGGAGAGTCTTGAAATGATTTCCCATACCAGTCAGAGTCTTAATAGGAAAATGTGATACACCCGAATTGGTTATAAATTCAAACTAAGTTTGACGGCAACAACTTTTGAAATAGTAGGCAGGATAAACACTAACAACATATGGTGCTGGAAGGGTCAAAGGGTGAGAGGATAGCTGCAATCCAAGTAGGGCATATATGGGAGAGGAGACAGATGGGAGAGAAGAGGAGCAAAAGACAGACACAGAGCTACAGAACTAACTCAACAGAGAAGAGCAGGAGGAATAAACACACCACATTATCCTCAACTTGCCCTCTGATCTCTTGAATTCTTCTCACTCGTCAAACCTGGCTGGAAGATACCACATACAGGTGTTCACTGGTGAAATCCACATAGGTTAGCCACCCAGACCTCAGAGCAGGATGGAAAAGGGAGCAAACAGGAAACATCCAGAACACACACACACACACACACACACACACACACACACACACAAAGCACAGTCACAAGTGCAAGATAATTGTCACTGATACCTGCTATAATCCTTAGACTGAGGCGAGCCTAAGGTTCAAATCCTAACTTCTGTCACTCTGTTGATGTATATCTTTAGGCACGTGAGTTAACATCTTAGCCTCAGATTCATCACTTGCAAAATGTAACTAACTAGAGTAACAAGGATTGGAGATACTAAATAAGACAGCATAAAATGTTCAGAGCTTGTGAACAGGAAGCACCATTATTATCTTCCCCACAGCGCATACTTAAGCGCACTTTCTACATCAGGGTACAGTTATTTTTATTCCTTTTCATTTCAATATATGGTTCATGTCTCCCCAGCTGAACAGTAAGATCTTTCAAGACAGGCAAGAGCTGGGTCATTTTATTCCATTGCCATGTTCCACTGCACCTGCCTGACCCAGTGCTGTGCAAACTGTGCAACAAGATAAGCACATAATAAAGAAACATATAACCTTTCTGATAAAAGGAGAAAGGCTTAATCAATTTATTAATTTGAAAAACAGAAGCACCATTAATGACATCACTAGCTGTTTTCCTTGGGTCTATAACATACTCATCGGATAACGATACTTCCTCATGTGGTTCTTATGTGAAATAAAAGGCATTCAGCAGATATACCTTCTCAGCAAGTGCTTCAAATTTTAATATACACAAACTATCCATCATTCCACCTGGGGATAATAAGAAAAAGAGGGAAATAGAGCATAGGAACAGAAAAGGGAAATAAAGCAGATGGCAAAGTAAAAATAAAATTCTTGGGAAAACTAAAAAAATAAAATAAAATAAAATAAAAGATTTGGGGAAGTCAGTCCAAGCATGGAGTTTCCCACTGCTGAGAGAGGCCACTGTGCAGTGTGAGGAAGAGGCTCAATGGCAGGAGCTCAGGCAGCCAGAACCAGCAACACTAGTAACTCAGCAGGCATGCCCACTGATATGGGAGACAGATTTTTAAAATTTTTATTACTTTTATTTTTATTTTATGTGTATGAGTGTATTGCCTGCATGTATGTAAGTACACTCATATCATGAAATGCCCACAGAGGTCAGAAAAGTGCATTGGATTCCCCTGGAACTGGAGTTACAGACAGTTGTTAGCTGCCATGTGGGTGCTGGGAACCAAACCTGGGTCCTCTGCAAGAGCAGCCAGTGCTCTTAACTGCTGAGCCTTCTCTCAAGCCCTGAGACAGATTTTTTTCAATGCTCTGGTTAAACAAAACAAAATTACTCAATACAATGCAATGTCTGCATTTCAGAAACCATTAGAAGGAGGATACTAGAGGCCTGTTGCAGGAGCTCAGACCCATGAAATGAAGTCATTGATTATAAGCATTAAAACTTAAGATACTCAACATTTGGATAAAGGACCAGATGGAGAAAAA